GAACCTAATGAGTTACATAATATGAAAGTAATTATTTGTAAAATGATCACATTTGACTTGAAGATGGGTAGACGGGGCTCAACATGCACTTACGAATATGTGTTTATAATTGTGAACTTCAGTAAATCATAGCTCATATTACAGTTGAAAAAGATATTAAATATGTAATGACAAGTAAATGAGTTTATGTTTACAATGATGATATGAAACAGAACGGTACTTGTTTCGAGTCCCAGAATAGACATAAACTTTAGAATGGACATAAATTCGACTGACGGGGCTCAAGTTGAACGAAAGATATATCCTGAATTCTTTTACCACTATTTCTCCCTTTAAAAGAGCTTATGATCACATCATATTATTAAAAACTATCTCCAGTGACAGTCACTTCATTGCTACAAAGATATCATTGACTTTAATGCTTTCGTAATTATACATTAGTTTGATTAAGAAATAATACATGCAGTAGTACATTTTGTGTAATTTATGACAATAACTTACTTTACAAGATCATTGTCAAAATAACCATACAAAAAATATATATTCCCTTTAATTTATCATAATCATTTACCAACCTGCGTTCAATATGTTTCACTGTTTCCAAACACCTCTAGGTTGTATCTTTTCATTTCTACAGCGATTTGGATGGCTCTTCCGGTCTTCCTCATTGTAGGAACATTCCATGTACCTAAATTAATGGTTAATCTGGTTGTCAAAAGGGAAATCAGCCTCATGACTTCCGAAGAAATTCGGTTTTTACAATGACACATCATAACTCATCTAAATAAAAAGGCCTTTTAACTCCTAGAGCAGAGTATAAATAGTTTAAATTATTTTTTGTTTTGGTTAGCGTGGGTTAGTTTTCTACACGATGAGGTCACTAACCCCATGTTCAACCCTACCCCCCTTTATCCAGGCTTAGAACCGACAGTAACCTCAGAAGGGCTTATAGCAGAGTTAAATGATTTACCACCACTCTTATATTCTTTCATTATAAAAAAAAATCGAATTCAATCAATGTTTTAAATTTCATTTTTACCCTTAAGCAACAAAAAAATATTTTTTTTCAAATCTTTTACCCCTTTTGTAAAAAGAAAGAAAAAATCTTTTTTTTTTCTTTGATGACCAAGCACTTTTTCACATTAATAATAAACAATCATAATATAGAACCGATTTCTTCTTTTTATTCTTTCCCTCAATTTATCCGTTGGAAACGCGTTTTTTCTCGTTTTTTTAAAAATTTTTTTTGTATTTTTGTTTTTTTATTTTCTTTTGTTTTTCTTTTTTTTGTCTTATCCCATCTGTTACGAATTTCAATGAATAAAAAAGGGATAATAATTTAACAGAAATATGAATTAGATCAAATAGTATAATGAATATTTCTTATTAAAGTTTGATCGGTTATGTAATAGATTTCATATAAACTTATTTCTACACAATTGATTGATCACTGTGTAGCGATCAATGTCATGCGTGTCTAGTCCTTATTAGTGCAGATCGAATGCTATCGGTCATGTTGCAATGTGGCCAGCAGTCTAGGTGATTGTTAGATTTTAATAAAAAGTCTTGTAATTTGTGTGTCAAATACATTCGATTGTCCCCACTGGTGTTCTTGTTCACTACACTTGCATATCAGAGTTGATGTTCACTTTGGGACTCAAACCTTGTACAGTTCGCTTGCAAACTGACCACGTTATCTACTTAGCTACTGACTTTTGATAACTGCTTAAGCCCAATGAGGTGAAGTTGAAATTCACATGGTATTGTTTGTTTGAGTCTTCTCACTGATATTCAGGACTACAATTGATCAGTCTCTCATTTGCATATGTGTATACTGTGCGTACTGCCTCGATATAGCCTTAATTCACAAGGATTATATGCAAAGATGAATTGCAAACGGTGCTGAGTTCCAGTCTTAGAGTGAACATCAACTCTGAGATGCAGGTACATCCAGCTGACGAGTCCCAAATAGGACGCAGTGGTGCGCGTCCTGGACTCCACTGCTATCCACTATACCAACTGAATGTAATAGAAAGTTGTTTATTTCATTAAATTCAATCATTTTAAACCAAAAATCATTAATGCGACAAAATGACATATATGGTGACAATGAATTAATGAGTTTCACTTCGAATTTCTTATAATTAAGATGATTTTAATGTAGAACGAGTTTTCTTCCGAAAATTAAAACGAGAATAGAAAGAGATCTGATATAAGTTATATTTTGATTGAGATCATGAATTGATTAATGTTAGACTATCATTAAAAATCTTGAAAGATTGGATGGGTCTTTCGTCCTAGTATCGAACTCTTCAATAAACCATACAAACAATTCCGCACTCAGGAATCTGTTATATTTAGAGCTTAGATTTTTAATATGTCGTGTATAACTTGAGCAACTTGAACGCTAGAACCACCTCGAGTTGAAATTGAGAAAACAGGAGACAAGTGAAAGGAATGCTATTCTAAACATTGTCAAATATGACACAAAACTCTTAGGTATTTATAGTTTTTAGTAAAAATAAAGTCATTATTATAGTCCTCCGATCCGTATACAGGGGTTTATTAGCATTTGCTCAACATGAAAGCTACACGTAGAGATTCTAGAATATTCTTCCAAAAGGTAATTGTATAGGATATCTTCGACTCTTTCTGAGCTCCTTAGAGCTTCCTCGAGTTCATCCAAGGATCGTCCTCACAGAATCGAACCTATGACCTTCGATATCATGCGCGAACCACTAAGTGGACATTCGAAGGTGTTAATGTCTAGATTCAATCAATCCATTTTGTTTTAGAAAAGTTTAAATGCTGTTAAATGAAGTGAGATTTTTTTATTGAGATCATGAACCGATTGGTGTTAGACCACCGTTGGAAACCTATAGGCACTGGACGACCGTTTCGTCTTATCGTAGGGCTCCTCAGCAATGCGCATCCATGATCCCGCTCGCTGGATTCAAACCATATACTGAAATGAGATTATTTAACTTTGAAGCAAAAACACTTTAAAAAGTGATTTTTATATGTAATCAATATAACCTCGAAAGTCTATGAAGATAGATACCAAGTTTTTATCTGAAGAGAAAGAACTTGAAGAACTTTCTGATAATAGAGTTATTCATAATCCTGGAAATCTTTATCTTTTTTCGAAGAACATAAAGAAGGTTAATTATTGGAAGACAAATTATCATAAATTATTTATAGTTGTGAAATGATAAATATTCGATTACAAGTCATTGATTGAATCGATTGATTAGTTAGTTATCTTAATTGTTCCATATCAGATCGACAAGGTAGTCAACAGTATTCACAAATGACAATTTTCAAACATACGTTAGAACGTCAGAAAGTTTCAAAGGTTCTACAAACTAATAATAATCTATAGTGAGAGTTTGTCATTCCCAGTTGTTGATTTTCAAGACTAAAATTGATCATTTTCTCTTCCTATATATGTATCCTGAGAAAATTGGTTCTGAATAACCTTTTTTTTAGTCAAATATATTAGAAACTTGAGATTAAAAATTATTTTGAGGTAATCGTCGCCGGATGAACATACAACAATAGATAATGATCAATTGAAGTCCTGGAGTTCAACAACAGGAAGTTAAAAATCCTAACGAATACCTCCACACTCATTAAACAAGTTAATGACTATCTGGAATCACTAAGTCAATGGATAATTCTGATTTTTAAAACGAAAGGTATTGAGTTCCAATCTCATTGTGAACATAAACAATGGGGTCCACAGGTAAATCTAGTTTATAAGTCTTACATAGAAGGACACTATAGCTACATATTTTGAATTCATTAGTTCAAATATGTTATCTCTCCATCAATGAGACTGTTAATTTTCACATTCAGAAACGTTATCCAGTCAAATTAAATCAACAGTAACAACTCTGACTATGAAACTGGAAGACATGTGTTTACACTGCAAAGGGAGTTTAAGTTCCATAAATATTATAGATATACCTCGTTGGTAAGTGTTCACTAGCATGAAACTAGAGATCATGGATTGAGACTATAATTTATGGACGACCTTTCAGCGACACTAAAGTAACCTTGAGAGTGTCCATTAATACTTAGGAGTAAACGAGAGTTATACACTTACGTGAGGAATTCGACTTATCATTTACAGTTGATGGTTAAGGGTTTTCATCCCTAACTGACATCAGCTATAATGCTATGAATCTATTTACCCAAATGAATGAGTGAATGTCGCGCCAAAATCCAAAACCTCTTATCTCAAATCTGTTTGGTTCGTCCATTGATTATAATCTCACCGTTTATATCTTTCGGTCAATTGTCTCCAACTGTCTAACAATAAAAGATGACACACTTACTTTCTAATCATTTAGTCTAGTTCCCAACATGAGTTCAATTAGAACTATGGAACATACAAATATGATATTATCAGAAGGGGTTTTGTGGATACTATAATAATTTTTAATAGTTGAGATAATGAGTCAGTTGAAGATAGATCACCATGGAAAGCTTGGAAGCACTGGATAACCGTTTCGTCCCATTGTGAGACTCTTCAGTAGCGTGCATCTACAATACCTCCTCATGAAATTCGAATCCAGGATTTATCAGTCTCGCGTGCGAGCGCTTAACCACTAGACCACTGAGCCGGTATCCGATGGTGCTAATATCTAACTTCAACTAATCCACAAAATTGAGCGACACATCCATCATTGTCTTCAGTGAGTTACTATCTAACAACAGACTTGCTTGAACACCACGAGTCAGGGCTTCTCACAAGGACTCTAAGAGATATCTCTTGAAGTCAGTCACTAGTGAGCATATGTTGATTATTATCAGAAGGGGTTCAGTGGAGATTGTAGTAATTTAATAGTTGAGATCATGAGTCAATTGATGCTTAACCACCATATTATGATATTAGGTACTTTCAATAATCTCTGTATTTGTATATTTAACTTTAGACTATTTAGTACAGAGTATCAATCAATTGTAATCAGTTCTATTACATAATAATCATGGGTATGATAACAACAAATGTATTAGAAGAGTCTTTAAGTTTTGGACCTTTACCAACAAGTTTAATGATAGCTGAACCAGCATATTTAATTGCACAAACAACAACAGATCGTTTATCTGAATTACCAACAATCTATGTAAGTTAACTTATATGAATTTCCTTTGATGAACTTATCTAATATATAAATTTATATTGTAAACTGAATTAGAGGAATTATGATGACACTTTGTAGTTAATAACGTTAGGAGATGATCAATATCATATATTTCAGATCCTTCTTAGTGTAGATCCAATCCTATCAACCGAGTTGCAATGTGACTATTAGTCTACGTGACTCGATACTGTATGCATTATTTTGAAATAAGATGGTGGTTAGAAAGCCTGACATATATGCCATTGATCACCCACCATCCAGTGATCAATCAATTGTAAATACATCTCGGTCCTACAGGAAGTCAGTTGTGGTTCAGACAACTAAATGGTAATGTCTCTGACTGTGAAGCTGGGTGACATGGGATCGAATCTATTAGGGAACAACAGTACTCTCTCACTATTACAGGTACACCTTACTGACGAGTGCCAAGTAGTACGAAATCTTAGTTCAGCGTTTCCTGTTGACTATCTCCAACCACCATCTTATAATATTGTACTTCGCAACTAAACAATGTTAGTTTGAGCATTATTAAAAAACTATGAAGTGGTTGATACATGTATGATGTAACGAAGTAGAATAGAGACATTAATAATGTACATGTGGGTATACGTTGTAACTCAAGTTATTGGTCATCAACGTAGAGTAGTAATTTTTAAGCATTTGAAATTTAAATCTTTTTACTGCAAACTATCCTCAATAATACAATATTATTATTAATGCTAAGGCGAAGTTAAGTTGGTTACTATTGAAGAAATTCATTACAGTAAATTGAACAGATCAACGGTATTCAAAGTATAGATATTAGTGTTGGGGAGATCCGGAAAATTCCTCACGAAATAGCCAACAAATGCTATGAAGAAGCACATTATCCAATCAGCATTTAATAGAAGTTTTGACAGAATCATCTAGAAAGGGAAAAGTCACATATCTCGTTATCTGATTGGATGATTATTTATACTGCTACTCTGTTTAGTAGCGTTCCAGAATTCTTCAAAAGCTTAACTTCATCTGAAATGCTATAATTACCCTAGATTTTCTGTACAAAAGTTAACATTAGAGTAAAGCGTTGACGAAATACATCACTTTATTTCTAATAGTCTAGTTATTTTGAATTATGCTCAGTTGAGATAGTTATCAACAGTTGTACTTCTTTGGTAGAGGTTTATGAATTCACATCAAGATTAGTGTATGTATCTTGAGTGCTGTTAAAAGTATGAGGGCGGTTATCACTTCCCGGTTGCCCACACCGTGGAAGGATTCTTCTGGAGGTACCTGAAAAGGAAATTGGATTAAAGGTGGTCTTAGTGACCTGAGAGCGTGACCGCAGTGCCCAAGGGACAACTGCTTGAGGTCGGTCACACACGACCGTTTTATGTGTAATTTTTGTGTTAGCTCCGTACTTGTTGAGACCTTAACGCCGGAGACGGATATCCATGGGATAAGGCGAGGTGTGCATTTTTAGGGTCGACCTTTTCTAACCCCACCCTTCCTTGTGGGAAGGCAGCATTGCTGTCATGCCGGTTGTCTGAAGGAAACACCTTACTGCTGTCACACCTCTGTACAGTCAGCAGTACGACTTCGCCTTCGGACCTTGGGTTTGTTGCTTTTAGTCTTACCGCTCTTCAACCAAACTGTCTGACATGGCATGACCTTGAGGAACGGTTGTTCCAGCCAGTAAAGCTCTATTGGTTCATCACGCTAGGCAAGCCCGACCACCACGTCAATGTAGCAACAGCGGTCGGGTTTGTGTGTGTATGTATTCATCAGATTGGTAAACGTACCGAGATCGTCATTTATTTTACCCTTATTTCATATATGAAACGGATTATGAACAGTAAGTCTATCCCGGATGAATCCATTTAAGAAAGCTATCAGTGTAAATACAAGGAACTGAATTTATGTAAACTGATTTACCTTAGTAAAGGATTCATCATTAGTACATTAATTTATAAAATTTACCTTAAGAATACAATACAATTCATATCCCATGAAAAGTAAGTTATTCTAATAATGATGGGATGGAATGTATTTGTTTCATTTTTGAACTTTGTATTTTATACTATGGTAGTATGTTGTATGCTACTTATGCTGAGATATAAGTAGTATGAAGTAGTAATCGATAGTGGAATGCCTCTTCAGCAAAAGTTTGAATTGAAGAGAATGGGAAGGGAAACAGAAAACAATTAAAATAACAACCGGAGTGGTATAGCTATGAATTATGTAAAGGAAAACTGATGAAAGATGTGTAAATAATGAATTTGATGTATGATTTTCATATTTTATGAAGTCATTGTGCTATGTGGTTTACCCTCACCTGAGTTCTTAATCACTGTATTTTTCAAACATAGTTTTTTGAATCAATGTCCATTTGGATCCAAATCATGTTTTATTCTGAGTAGATTCAGAAAATGTGTTATACATTTACTTCATTCTCATCAACATGCCCAAAACAATTAACAGTCGATTTGGTCTATAAAAGCACATTGTGAAAGATGAATGAATGTAAAGTGATAGTTTAAGTTTTTCTTTTTAATATTTTCACTAAAGGATACATTTTCTTTCTTTCTTTTTCCCTTTCTCTTTTCATACAATAGGCTGATCCTAAACGATTATCTGATCCAATACGTCTTATTGAATGGGTATGTAATCTACGTTGTGCTAGATGTCCAAATGAACAAAATATGGAATTAGTTTATTGTCATCAATTAAGTCAATCATTCTATCGTACAACACGTAGAATTGAAATTGGTGAAGAATTATTAATTTGGTTTCGAAGACAAGATTTACAACCATTAGTTACAGAATATTTGAATCATTTATATATTTCAGAAGCATGGATAGGAAATACAGTAAAAGCAACAGATTTATTACAGAAAGATTATGAACAATTTGTAAATCCACATAAATCTTTCAATACAGAATACTGTAAGTTGTATTATGATGGTAAGAAGTAGTAATCTTTTTTAAGAAAAGGTTGATAAGTTAAATTTATTCATAAACAAAGATGAATGGTGATAAGGAGTAGAATTCAGGACGCGCATTTCGTCTCATTTGGGAATCGTCAGCTGAATGTACCTGCATCTCATAGACGAGATGATTTGCAATAAGACGGCCTATTCAAACATTTGAGCCATCTATTTTACCATCTATCTAAATGTTGTTATTTTAGCTGTTTGTTTTAGATTTGTTTATCCTGAACCACTATGAATGCTTACTTTATACAGTTAAACAGTTTTATATAAATGATTAGAAATTGTTCAGATTCTAAGTAGTAGAAAACTCAAATGGAAGCACTTTGTTTGAAGGTGAATAGCAGTATATTCACGGATATTAAGAGAAACTTGTTTCAATGTTGCACAAATGGTACTGAGAATTTCTTACAGTAATAAAGGTGATCATATTGAATAAGATCATTATTATTATTATTGTTATTATTATTATTCGGGACCTTTTGGAAGCATTTTAATGTTAAACTAACTTGTTGATATCCAATAATGTAGATTTGTAATTTCACTGAAGCTATGATATTGTGTAACCATTATTTGATATTATGGGAGAGAAATGTTTTACTGTCTATATGATTAAAGTCTATTGGATAAGGCCTCGCTGCAGAACTCCTAGAATTCTTCTCAATCATGTTCTATTGATCAAATGATTGACTAAAGTTGTAAATATGGATCGTTGGGTAAGTATTCTGTGCTTAAAGGGTAGTGAGGTCATAGGTATGAACTGTTTATGTACTTATACTTATACTAAGACAAAGTAGCTACAGAACGTTATTTGGATAATAATAATAACAATAATAATAATAATCTGATTGAGGTCATGAATCGATCAATGTTAGATCCCCATTTAAAATCTGGAAGTACTGGACGGGAGTTTTGTTCAAGTATGGGACTCTTCAGAAGTGCTCATCCACAATCCCACACAAGGGATTCAAACTCAGAACCTCTCTCGTGTGAACACTTGACTTCTAGACCACTGAGCTGACATCCAGTCGTATTAATGTTAAGTGTCCGCGCACGAAGCTGAAGGTGCTGAGTTCGAACCTCTAGTGTAGGATTGTGGATGCACAGTTTTGAGAAATCCCATACATGAATAGAAGGCCCATCCAGTTCTCGACAATCTTCACAACTCTATATTGATAATAATAGTAATATTTTTTAAATCAAAGAGGAAAAATTTTACTTTTATCTTCAACATTTAGGCAAATTTCAATGTTCCAGATGTCATGATGAATTCACTTACATTTATCCCTATATATCACATTGTTTATTTAAATGTCAAAAACAAACTATCATTCAAAGTATTCAATGGTTCAATCATCATAGATTCATAGAATCAAATGAGTTTCCTATTGAATTAACTAATAAATATACATATCAAAAAAATATCGACTTATTATTACATAACAATATGAATACACCATTAAATCAGAACAAATTAGATCATCTTGAGAAGAACACAATTGAAAATGATGATGATTATGATGTTGATGATGATGATACTCAATTAACTATTGAAACTAGATCTAATAAAATAGGGAATCAATTAAAGAAAGTGGGAAATAATGAGAAAATGAATGAATTAACATCTATGAAAAATTTCAATCCTTTACGTAGAAAATATTTACATAGAATTCAATCTAATCATAAAATTGTCAAACCTTTTAAAACATTAAAACAAACTACTTATATAGATAATAGTAGTAATAATTTTTATACTAAAAAATCTAAACTAAAAACTACATTATTACCGTTAAAATCTCGTAATCCATTAGTGGAACAATTATTACAAACAATCATGTCACATAAAATAGATTCAAATGTTGAAAATAATTCATCCAATCTAATTTCGAATATGACATTATCATTAAAAAAGCCAATATCATCAACATCATCATCGACGACGATGGCAACGATGACAATGACAACAACAACAACAACACCAACATCACCGTTGATAAGTAGTTTAGCATTAGCACAAAATTGGTGTGCACGTTGTTTTATTACATTTCGATTAACTAGTGATTTAGTACATCATATGCGTACATGTCATAATCAAGGTAATAAATATTCTAATGTAAAAGATCGTTTAGTATCACATCATAAAACAATAAATACAACAGATTTAATCAATAAGAGAAAACAGTTAAGCAATGAGAACGATAATGATAATAATGAAATTGGTTTATTACACTCTAATGGGCAATCATTGACAACGGTTAGAACATCGCCACAAATCACAATAACAACAGCGACGATAACGACGACGACAACAACAACTACAACAACAGTACCATCTTATTGTTCAACATTAAACAAACCAATTTGTTCTTTATGTGGTGAACAATTTAAAGAAAAACATCATTTAACTAGACATATGCTATCACATACATAAAAAAATAAGTAGTTCATTAAAATTTGGTATCAATATTTTGTTACTTCAATATGATAGTTACTTGGATTATCATCATTTTCCATATTGATCTGTGAATACTAACAAGTTATTATTATTATGATTATTATTAGTGATGTACAAACATTGGACATGATGATTTACTTCTATTCCTATTCAGTTATTGCCTTCATTACATGATATTTAATATTAAGAAAGGACTTTAATTTCATTATATTCGTTTTGTAATTAGGAATAATTGTCATACTGTCTTTCTTGTATTCAGTGTTATTGAGATAAATGAGAACACACAAATGGGGACAATCGATTGTATTTGAATAAAACATTCAAGAATCAGTTGGTCAAATCTATGAACCATACAGTGAATACTTCGTTTGTAAAATGTCAATCAATCGTCCTAGACTTCATTGTTCTTTTGTTTCCACAGCATTTGTTCTCGTTCTTCTTTCTTCGATCTTCTTAACCTTCTGTCTCACCGGGTATATAATTTTCGACTGATGGTACATACTACTTATATCTGTTGACATTAGTAGCACACACTATACTATTGGAATTTTGCCTACCAAGTGAATTGATTTAGCTGTAAACTATTTAGTTGATATGGTGGACAGTGATTGACTTAGATTTCTGGAATTCTGATGGGACCGATACCATTTAGGTGGTTTGAGTTTGTGTTATTAAGTATCACAGCACAAGGCATTGTCATTAGGCCAGTAAGGTCATTGCTAACATTTTTTCCAAAGATAATTTCAAAACGACTTCGGTGGTGTTTTGAAAACTTTTTATAAAAAGTTGTGAACAACAGGGAGTGGTAATTTCATAGTTATACTTACTTGCTTATGCCTGTTACCCATCATGAAAGAGCATAGGCCGCCAACCAGCACTTTCTATGTAATCCTATCGTCTGCAATCCTTTCCAGTTGTTTTCAGTTGCTATTCATCCTTTTGATATCTGCTTCCAATTCTAGACTCAGTGTGTTGTTTGGCCTTCCTCTTTTCCATTTCACTTCAGGATTCCAAATTTGGGCTTGCTTCGTGATACACTTAGGTGGTTTTCGCGATGTATATCCTTCCCACTCCCACCGTTTTTTCCTAGTTTCCTCTTTGAATGGAAGTTGGTTAGTTCTCTCCCACAGTAGGCTGTTGTTTATGGTATCCGACCAACGGATATTGAGTATCTTACGTGTAAACTTGTTTATAAATACTTGTACTTCTTTGATGTTGGTTGTAGTAGTTCTACAAGTTTGAGCTCCATACAGTAGAACTGTCATGACATTCTCATTGAAGATTTTGACTTTGACATAGGTTGACAGTTGTTTTGAGTTCCATATGTTCTTCAACTTTAGGAATGCAGACAGTGCATTGCCAATCCTTTCCTTTACGTCTGCATCGGACCCTCCGTCTTTATCAATGATTTTGTCCAGATATGTGAAAGTTTCCAAATCTTTCAGAGCTTTTCCATCAAGTGTAGCCGTGTCTGTTTTCTCCGCCTGTAGCTCTTCTAGAGTCACTGCCAGTCCCAATCCCGGGTATAGGAGGAGGGTCGGGCATGGGATCTGCAACCCAATCCCATAGAAGAAATCTTGATGAAAACACGCCAATCAGATTTCATAGCTGTATAAAGAAACAATACTTTTTATGAGCGGAATGTGATGATCTAATTTTAACTCTATCAGGGCTAAACAACATTCCTATATATAGCTTGAAAAGACTGATGTTAGTTAATTATTTATAGCTCTTATCTGATAAGACTTTTACTTCAGATTTTAAGTTGTACAGATCTGTCTCAATTTCAATGGACTGCAGATTGGTTTTTGCTCTCCTTCTGCATTCAGAAAGTTCCTTAGTGAATAGTTATACCGTAAGCGGCTAAAGCGACAGTGAGCATTTCGTGTTTAAATAGCAAGAGTTGGTTCTGGTTTTAGCAGACACAGTTATGCGTTATGTTAGGTTTCTATACTACAATAGCAAGATGAGACGAAATCGATAGGATGAACAATAAAGGGGTTTAAATAATGTAGTGACAATAATACTGAGAGGTGAACATCTAACCCACAACCCAGGTATTGAAAAATGAAATAGTGCTAGTAATTTTATTAAAATCATGAACTCATCTAAGTTAAAAAACCATTGAAAACTTGGAGGCATTGTGCTCACTGGTGACCAGATTCGATAGGACATTTTTGGGTTTCCAGTGAGAAGTCGTGACCAATCGAGCTAATCCATGTCGGATATGAGACAGTTAACCAACGGAGACAATTGAGGATCGTCGCACAATGTCGTAGGTTGATTAACATTAACACCTTTGGATGCCCGCTCAGTGGTCTAGAGGTTAAGCGTTCGCGTGCGAGACCGAAGATTCTAGGTCCGGTTCTCGTGTGCAGGATTGTGGATGTACATTTTTGAAGAGTCTTATACTAGTCGTTACCATCGTACAGATGAACCATATTTTGGTACTAGGTTCCCTCATATGCTGCTTTTTAGTTCATCTAGAGCATAGATCTAAACGAGCTAATAAACAGTATTTTGCAAGGCAAGTCTCTGTAACAGCATTAAAGATTAAAACCTTGAAAGTTTCTATAATTATCAAACACCATGATTGTTATAAGGGGTATCGTGTAATGACGTCCTCCTTTCTACTGTATGACTATGTTACATGAGCTTTAAAAGTAGAGAGATACTAAAGTTGCTATCAGTCAGTCAAAAATTTCATTTACATAATTCTTAAATGGTTACCTCATAAAGTCATATTGAACTTTCAGTAAGTGTAGGGACGTATCGAGAAAACTATGATAATGCTTATGAAAGTGGGTAAAGGACACAAATGTATACTTATTGACAGTGGACCAATCAGACATCTGGCAAATGATAAGTCCACACAGCCGACCAAGTTATGCATTGATGTTAGACCATGATTGAAAACCTGGAAGCACTGGACGGCTGGTTCATGCTATTGCGGGACTCCTCATCAGTGTGCATCTACGATCCCGCCTCACGGAATCCGTGTCAGGTATAGACAGATATGTACCTCAGTAAAATGGAATAAGGTCGCGCAATTTCGTGAATTGGTTGAAGTTAGACATAAACGCCGTTGGATACCGGTCGACTCACTGATCTAAAGGTTAGACATTCGAACGCGATACCACCATCCCGTATTCTGGATAGTAGATGAGCACTGCTGTGGAGTCTCATACCAAAACGAAACAGCCGTCCATTGCTTCTAGGTTCTGATTGATAGTCTAACATTGATCAATTCATGTTCTGAGTACTATCTATTGTTTCTGAACTGACATTGTCCATCACTATATACGGAAAATGAAATCTTGAAACAATGTAAACTGCAATTCTCCATAGTAGATGCCACCTACTAAATATAATGCCTCAAATGAATTTTCATTAAAAAGATATACTACTTACAAAGTATATTTAATAGTATGTAAATTATAAATTAATTTTGTTCAACAAAAATTATAAAACAAGCATCCATCGTTATATTACAATGGAAAAATTACATTATATTATGATTATTATTTTTTTCGTATCAATGATCAGAATTTTATTGATTTTATTTAATTAATAATTATTTGTTAATGTTTTATTTAACCATTCTTGAACATTTAATTGTCCTAAATATTTTCGATTATAACGTTTAAATTTATGATCGTGTTTTAAATGGATCAACCGTTGATTGAGATCAAATGAAGGATCTACAATGATTTTATCCTTTTTATTCATCATAAATTGATGATCTATTTGTTTTTGAGATTTATATGATTCTAATTTATAATGATTCAATTTGGTTGATGTATCATTTACTTGATTGTTTATATCATTTGAAAGTAAACGATGAATAGGTAAATATGATTTAGCACGTCGTTTAGTACGTTTATATCGATGTTTTGATTGTTTTTTATATGATTGTTGATTGAATTGTATTCGATGTTGTATATTTGAACATTGAAGATTATTATTATTATTAGTATCATTATTCATAAATGTTTGCTCTAACGATGTCCTGTACTCATCATTGTGATTATATCGATGATTTTTAGAGAAATGATTTTGAATTATTCTTTCATGTTTAGTTTGTGGTTGACTTGATGAACGATGATAATAGTGATGGTTGTAGGATCTATGTCTGAAAAAAAGAAGAGTGAATAAATCAAGAATTAGAATTGTTTAGCTTATGGAGATTGGTTAATTAATTTACATTATTAATAATCATATACTTAATAATGATTAATTTTGAGAGGTAACCGCTAGAGTTGTTTTGAGAAGCCGTGATCAATGAAGTCTAACTATTGTCGAATGTGAAGTATATACATGCTGATAACAGTGAATGATGGTTATTCAATACGACGAATTGATTGAAGTTAAAGGTGAAAACCAGAGAATACTGAGTGAATGATCTTAAGGTCAGACTCCTACTTCAAGAAGGTCCTCTCTTCAATCCCCGGTAAGATCATGAATCCTCAATACTGAGAGGTTTTATACTAGGACGAAACATCTGTACAGTACTGCCCAGTTTTAAATGGTTAGTGATTGATGTTAAACGTGCGTTTAGGTCAGTTGGAAAATAGTTTATATTACTGACCAGGATTATCTGAAGAATAAATGAGTGGGAGATAGGAAACCGAATATTTCTCCTTAGTATGAAACTGAGCTGACTTTGTGAAGGTTGACCATTAAACTAAGACTTTATGATCTATACGTGGTTATATGCTCATCATGAGACCAAAACTTCATAAATGATATCCTGTATCTGTTGATGACTGTGTTTTCCGAAACCAGAACAGAACACGTGCTTCGTACTCACTATTTTTCAATGATTTTCTATTTGACGTTGGTCTATAATGAATGTCATCGTCAAAATTAAAAGTTAACTGAGGATTTTACTTCAAAAGGATTGTTCATTGCTCAAGAGATACTAGACATTCTATCAATACTGTCACAGTTTTTATAAATACATCACACTCTTCTTGGTTTTGGCAAACAAGAGGTATCATTAATTATAAAATAATAAACAGAATTTGTGATTCAGTAAATGGTTACTGAGTTTTGTTAACAGAGTTGATATTCCCTCTGAGATTCGAACCCAGTAACGTTCACTTCAAATACTATTGCATTATCCACTTAGCTACTGAGTCCTGATATCTACTTGCTTATGCAATAGGGTAAGGTTTAAATTCACTTGGTATTGTTTACTATAATCTTCCCATATGTGCATATATACAAATAACAGATTGATCAATTTCAGTCCTAAACACCAATTGGAAGATTAAAGTAAACAATACCAAATGATTTTCATTTGTTTATAACTAATAACAAGTCTGATCAATAGTTGATTTTTATAACTAGTCAGCTATCATTGACATACTGCCCAGTGTATTAGCTCCAGTCGACTTATCAAATTAACATAACAGGTTAACTCATGAATGATTCCAAATAAAATCATAGTACCATTCATAGTAAGAATGACTAAATACTGAGAAACATAAATCTGAAGGTAAGAAGCAACACTGAACCTTAAAATCTACAGAACGATAATCAGTGAATGCATATGTACCACTAAAATTTAATCTATGATCTTTAATCACTAATCGGGCTGACCCCTAACAACTAGCTATTGTAGTTTGGAATTTTATATATGTAGCTTGAATTTAGACACAATTAAATATTTGATTTGGTGATCAATATATGCAAGAATTATAATTTATTGTTTGACTGGGTTTTTTCTATGTGAATTGTATATTGGTAGAGACAATGTGAATCAAATTGTAAGTACATATTCCAGATCATCCTTTCTGATGATTATCAGCCATACAATGAGTATCCAAAATCCCTGGTACGGCCAAGAGTGAGGAGAGTTAGCTATCCCACTTTAAATGCCCTCACATGACTACGGGTATACAACCACTAGCAGGGAATTCCTACTAACTACTCTATCGCACCAGGGGTATTGTTTACGAAATTGAGAGGACAAAAATTAAATATTCGGCATTTTAAGCAGGTTGGTGGAAATAGAGGATCTACCTAGGGAAGTTGAAAAACCTGTTTCCAAACCAATTATGTAAATGAGCTCTAGGATCCTGAGGGAACAAATGGAGTATGAACCTACTGTTGGTCACCGACTACCATGGGACTGCATCTCCTGACGTTGTTCCACCGTTTTGTGGGTTAGACTTTAAGATCTAAAACTCCAACTGTGGCATCCTAATTGAACCACCTGTTTTGATATAGACACTCGGACAGTATCACAGTCCACATACAAATCAAATGACTTATGTGGCACACACGTATTCACTACCCCTTTGTACCAATATTTAGACCGATATTATACTACTTATTATGTATCCACTCATTAATTAATTATGCCTTTTTTTAAAGTAAACAGATTCACTTACGTTAAATTATCATCTTTTGAAATATTTCGTTTATTTCTTGAATAATAATGTACTTGATTCCATAATGGAATAAACCATTGTTTACAATGATTACAACATAACATAGTTGAAGTGGAATTGTCATTTACAGTATTATTATTATTATTATTATTATTATTATTATTACATTGTCCATTCATATATCCTTTATTCATTTTAAATAAACAATGTTGACAATGTAACATAGTAGTAGAATTAGTTTGATCCAATGAATTCATTATTATTTTGGATCGATATTTACATTGATCACGATCATGATCATGATCATGATCATCATTATGAATCTGATCAATATTTTTTGAAATATGTCTTGAATAACAATCATAATTATTATCTTGTATAGAATTATTATAATGATGATTCGATAATATAGAATAACTATTTTGTTTATATTTAATATGATTATGATAATGAAGAGAATGATGATGATTATGATGATGATGATGATAGAAACTATTTGATTTCTTATAAAGTTTATATTTTTGTTTACATTTTTGATTATAAAGAGTTTGATCGGTTATTGTGAATTGATTATTATTATGATAGAAATCTGATAGAATTGATTTTTTAGAATTATGATCAATTAAATGTTGACAAATAGGACAAATTATTGATTTTTGATTGATATGATCTTTATATTGTGATATGAAATGGTTTTGAGGATAATTTTGTTGTTGTTGTGGTGGTGGGGGTGGTGGTAACCGTTTATGATCCGGATCTATTTGATCTAATTTATGAATATTAACTGAATCGATTAATGAATCTATGGAATTATTATTATTATTATTATTATTATTATTATTATTATTATTATTATTATTATTATTATTATTATTATTATTATTATTATTCCATAATGACGTTTTATCAATTTCTGTACCCAATGTAGCAAGGATATGTGTTTTTTTAAATTTCAATTGATGAGTTGTTTCATTAGAAAGAGTTTTGTTTTGATCATGTATTGATAAATGATTTGGATTCCATTTAATACATAAATGCCATGTGTGTGGTTCATCATTATTGTTCATCTCTTTATATTTTGGTTGTTTAGTTAGATCATTTGAAGTATAACTAGCTAATTTGATATGTTGATGTATTTGTTTACTGGTTTGATGTGATTTTAATTTATTTTCATGAATATTTCTATTATTATTATTATTATTATTATTATTATTATTATTATTATTATTATTATTATTATTATGGTGAGTTTGGCCTAATTTTTCATATTCTGATACTTTTTTAATGAAACTTTTTGAACCATTGTGTTTTTGTCGTAGACGAGCTGCTACAACAGCAAAAACTGAATGTACTAATGCAGTGTCATCCTAAATTGATGAATATAAATTTAAAAAACGATATATGAACCTTTAACATATTTTTTACAATCAGATTAACTACTGAATAATTATATAAGTAGCTAAACTATAAATACAGATATTTTGTAACTATGGTATTGACAAATGATAATAGGCCACTGAGTTAGCATCCAATGGTGTTAATGTCTAACTTCAACCAATCCACGAAGTTGCGCCACCGTATACCACTGTCTTCAGTGAATTGATATCTCACAACAGACCTGGTTGAACTCCACGGGTAACGGCTTGACATTAGAACTCCAGGAGTATCTTTTGAAGCAAGTCATTGATGAGCTGATGATTATTAACAGAAGGGGTTTTGTGGAGATTTTAGAAACTTCACTGATTGAAATCCTCTGTCAATAGAAGTTAGACCATCATGGAAGACTGATAGGTTCTGGGTTGAAATCTCGCGGGGTGCGGGATCGTGTATGTGCACTGCTGAGGAGTCCCATACTAGGATGAAGCGGCCGTACAGTGCTTCCAGCTTTTTCATGATGGTCTAGCCTCAATTGACTCATGATTTCAATCAGTGAAATTTCTAAAACCTCCACAAAATCCCTTCTGAAAATAATAATAGGCACACAAAAGTTGGAAGAATCGTTCTTATGGGGATTAATTATTTGAGAAGTATATTTCTTAGTTCATTTTCTAGCTTAACAATTCACTGACAACAAAAGTTCACTTTCAATTTTAGAAGTTGTGAACATTCTAAGTGATTAATAGATGAAAATGTATGAATCTTCTGTACTCGAATTTATTAACTCAATGCGAGATTATGAATCGTTGATTAATCAATGATAAGTATCAAATCTAAATGAAGTCTGGCTCATTTAAAGACTTTTAAATAATCAACATTAAATGCAAACCAACAAAATGCGGTATCATTTAATGTAATATATATTTGAGGATCTGATGAAGATGTAAAGGGGAGGATTGGCAAAGTAAAAACCTCATTCCAACAATTAAACAACATATGGAACTCAAAACAACTGTCACCCAATATCAAAGTCATAATCTTTAATTCGAATATTACGATAATTAATTATACTGCATGGAGTTGAAAATTCGAGGACTATCATAATCATCATCAAATAAGTACAAGTATTTCTGAGCAATTGTCTACACAAAATACTCACTATCCATTGATTGAATACCATCAGAAATAGCCTATTATGGAAGACCCTCTATTTACTGCGGAAAATATGTTCTAAATCGAGTCACATTGATTGTAACTTGGGGATATGAGGACTTAACATTATTTCGTGGGGGAGGATAAAGTCAGAAAAGTTAAAGTCAGGATTTAAACTTCGAGTCTTCAGTAAAAAGGGAGGTGATATGATGGGAAGAAAAGTCAAAATCATTTTGATTTACTTATTATGATTTTTATTCAAAATTACTTCCGTTTTGATTCAATGTGATGATTATTCAGTGTAGTATTCGGTTTTGTCTCCTCGTATGATATTTAATTCTGTATAATATACGATATTCTTGAATTCAATGGACATGAACTATTTTGATGGAGTTTTGTTCTCTGAGCTGGATGGTTTGGTCTTGGGGGTTTCATCGTTCTTCTGAACGACATCATCAGCACAAACTTCAGATAGAAGTGAAGTGTCTGAATTTCTCCATATGCGTTTCACAGCTTGTTCTGTACACTTCGATGTTGATTGGTTGAACTATGATTGATTGAACTATGCTCAACATGTGATTTGTTATAACTATAAGTATTTTTCATATACGTGATTTCATCAAAGTGTGTGTAAAATCAATATACGAGTGCATCTTTCACTAGGGTCGTTGTCATAGTCGTCATGTTTTGGAGGTTAATCAAGCTTTATTTATACTAGTCTTTGTGTTCTTACTTCCGTATCGTGGGAATTTGAAGTAATCCCTCGTTTCGAGTATAAATGATAAACATTTCCGATGGAACAAACAACGACGACCAGATATAATAAGTAAAGTTAAATTCCAAAAAAATTATCATAAACCAAATCCCGTTCTGATACAAATTATATTTATTATGGATATGGTGATACATGGTGTACTGAAGGAGAATACAGGTGAGGACAACCGAATTCTATTTAGCAAAACATTACAGAGTTACTTGGTAAAATAGAAAAACGATACTATAATACTTAATCTGCAAAATGTTCAATAATTGTGTCGAACTTCATTATTTTTGCATTTCCATACTAATTACTTTCTATTCCCGTTCTACCATTCTTGATCTTCTCAATCTTCTGCTGCCAGACATTACATTCCTGACTCGCGTTATATACTACTTATGTCAATTTAAGTAGCACGCACCACATTGGTCGCGCTATTTCGTGAATTGATTGAAGTTAGACATTAACACCGTTAAATGCTGGCTTAGTGGTCTATAGCTTAAGCGTTCACGTACGAGACCGAATTCTCTGGGTTTGGATCACGCGAGGCGGATCTTGGAGGATCCCATATTATGACAAGACAGTCATCCAGTGCTTCCAGATTTTCCATGATAGCTTGGCTTATTACACACAATCAATATTAAACAATCTTATACATTATAATCGATTATTCACTTAGTAACTAACTAACTAACTGACCTCATTTAGATTTTGTTCATTTTCAAAATCATAAAATGTAAATGACCAATGTTTTTTATATTGATATTTTGACCAATGATTTAATGAATTAATAAAACATAAATTCGATGAAGATGATAATGATAATGGTGATGATGATGATGGTGATGATGATGATGATGATGATGATGATGATGACGATATTGATTTCATTGATTTTTGATAAATAAATGAATGAGATCGATGTTTTCGTTTTATTGATTTTTTTAATCTATTTAATTTAGATCGATTATGATAATCATTTTTTAGTTCAATATTTTGATCAATTAATGTTTGACCACTATTTGAACGACTTGTATTAAAATGAATATTGGATGTATATGGTTTTTGTAAAGAATAATTATTGATTAATGAATTAATAGTAGTAGTTGTTGTTGTTGTAGTTGTTGTTGTCGTTGTTGCTATGGGATTGTTTTGTAGACTTTTATTGTTTATTGATATTACGTCATTATTACCTGAAGTATAAGTGACTGGAGTTCGATATGTTCCTTTTTGAGACTATAAAATGTAAATAAACAGGGTATATAGTATATAAATAAGAAATTTCAATAGTTGAAATCATGAGTCAGTTGAAGCTAGACCACTATGGAAAACCTGGAAGCACTGGATGTTTGTTTCGTTTTATTATGGAACTACTTAGCAGTACGCATCCAGAATCCCGCACTCCGTGGGATTCAAACCTGGAGTCCTGGCGAAGAGCCGTGACCAGTGGAGCTAATCGGTGTCGGGTTGAAACAGGTGTCTACCTCAGTACAATGGAAGATGTTCACGCAATTTCGTGGATTGATTGAGGTTCGACATTAACACCATTGGATGCCAGCTCAGTGGTTTAGTGGCTAGGCGCTCGTGCACGACACTTACAGGTCCTGTGTTTGAATCCAGCCGGGTGCGGGATCGTGGATGAGCACTGCTAAAGAGTTCCATACTATGACGGAACGGCCATCCAGTGTCTCCGGGTTTTCCATGGTGGTCAATCTTTAATTGACTCATTATTTCAATCAAAAACTTAACAATCTCCACAACCCCTAAACTGATAAAGGTATAATTTGTCAGCTGATGAGCAATTCTGTGAATAATACGAATATCAGATGAACAGTTACTATGCAAATATTTAAAAAAAGCTGTTGTTATTTCATTTTAATGACTTTGTTCGATCAATTATTTGGTTATAGGACGGTTTGATTATGTATCCTCCTGTAGTGTCAGTTGCTATGTTAAGCCGACATAGTTCATTCTAGCTTCTGAACAAATCAATTTATTCATTCCTATTGAGTTACATTTTCACCTAGTTAATTATTCACTTATCAACCCTGACGGCTTTTATATAAGTGCATATATGTGCATGTACAATTCCTACCATATTCATCACATGTCTGTAACTTATTTTAGCCTGATTAGAAATAACCATTAATGCTTGGTTAAATCGAGTTGGCTTACTTGCCTTCTCCATTCAGTGTCATTCCGTTTCACTTCGCTCTCTATTCTTCGCTTCATACGCTGTGATTCTCTGGTTGTCTGTTCCGATTACCGAATGTACAAATTATACCTATTCAAACATCCATTCTCATATTTGACTTATACAGTTCCATTGTACACTATAACGCGATTTAATTCGATGATTTTATACAAGAATAGATGATATGTATATTTCGACAGCAATCATTCATATAATCTAATTGGAGTCAGATTCAAGATCATTAAACTTCTTCATTCAATCAAAATTATGATGATAGATAAGTTGGAAATCATTTCAGAATATGTCATACATATATGTATGCTTGATTATGGTTTACTTTTTGTTCGGTTAAACTTTCTTACCTAATTAACACTTCATAAATGGAAACTATTGAGGTCATTTTTCTTCAGGGTATAAGTCGATTCTATGATCACTTCTGAAAAATGCTTCAATTTTCACTTGTTTTCTCATTTTCTTTTCCATTTTAACCTTCATTGAAGGAGCTTAAAGTATACAGTGTTTTTATCAATGTTCATGAAAATATATTGACCAATTAAAATTTATTACAATGATCTTAACAGTTCAGTAGATTGATCCTGAACATCACCGATATTGAAATTATCATTTGTTCCGAAGAAATATATTTCTATTGTTCAGAATACATTGATAGTTTGTTTATGAATTACTAACATCGTTTAGAATCATTAATTTTGATAGATGCTCTAGGACAACTCCCAAATGCCCTGGTACCGCTGAGGGTGAAGAGAATCCACTCTCCCTCTCGAAACGCTCTCACATGGCCACGCGTATACAGCCACTGTTAGAAAAGTTCTAATCACTGCCTTCTCTCGACAGGCGTGTTGTTTACGGAATTGAGAGGACGAAAGGAGAATGTCCAGCGCTTTAACCAGGTTGGTGGACGTGGATAGTCCATCTGAGAGAGTTGGAAAAACCTGAATCCAAGCCAATGATGGACATGGCTCTAGGATCCTGGAATAACAAATGAGTATGAATCTACTGTTGGTCACCGACTACCATAGAACTGTATCTCTTGATGTTGTTCCACTGCCTAGTGAATCAGACCTTTAGATCAAAGGCTCCGGTCGTGGCCCTCTAAAAAATACTACCTGTCTCTGTCTGGACACCCAGGCAGTATCACAACCTATACACAAATCAAGTGACTTATGTGGCACATATGTATTCGACGCAACTTTGTACCAATATTTATGAGTTCAAATAATAATAATAATAATAGATAATATTAAGTTACTAACTCGTTCCGATCAGAGCATACTATATTACCTGAACTGTCAAGAACTACAAAATACAAAATAGCTAGATACTCCTAATTTAAAATTATTGAGGATAGTACCACCAAATGATTGAATTTAAAGATGTGAATAACTGTATATCGACATGGTCGTCTAAACGTTAATACTGATACATCACGATTAAAAAGCTCGAAACAATTTAATCCTTTATTGAGTCACAAGTACAAGTTGATGATAGTGTGTGCTACTGATGTCAACAATTATAAGTAGTATAAGTCATCAATCAAAAGTCAAGTCTCTGACCGCAGAAGATTAAAAAGATCGAAGAAAGGGGAACGAAAACAAAGAATAACTGCTGTGGACACGAAAGAACAATGAAGTCTGAGACGATTGATTGACATTTTACGAATGAAGTATTTACTGTGTGATTCTCAGATTTGACTAAGTGATTCTATAATTTTACAATCAAATACATCATATTGATCCCCACTTGTGTCCTCGTTCATTACAACATGACTTCAATTACTTATTATTCTAGCTATCCACAGTTTAACGAAATGTCGAATATATTCAAAATCAGACTACTATAGCCATTTTGTTAACCAATGATATCTCGTAGAAACAATTCATTTTGAGGCAAAACATCGGTTCTTTCTAACAGAGCGAGTTACTTGGAATACCATTTTGGAGATTCACTTATGTGTGTTGAGTTCGACCTATACAGACAGAAGTTTCTACTACACTGATTGTCTTCACCAGCATTTGTTAGGGTGTATGGGATAGAAGAGCTAGCTGATCTGTGAAATCTAAATCGTCTTGTAGAATCTAAGCTTTTCATAGTGGAAGTGTTGATAATCCAGTCAACCATCAAAAGGCAGAGAAAAGGGCGGGAGTAATCAAACTTATCTGACTCTGGTCCTCAATTGGAATGCGCCTGTCAGTTTTCTTCCATGCATCACTACGCATTGATAAAATAGTAAAATGATACTCTAATACTAATTTTCCAAAATGTTCATTAATTGTTTCATGCATCATTTTTCCTTCATTTCCTTACCAGATACTTTGTATTCCCACTCTTCACTTCTAGATCTTCTCAATCTACTTCTATCAGATATTCTATACCTAACTCACATTTACATAATACTTATATCGATATAAGTAGTACACTCATATACACTAAAAATATAACTTACATCATTCAGTTTTATACAATCAGTTATACATTCATTGAATAAATGATTATGATTATGATCATGTTTATGATTATTTTCTGTTATTATTACATTAGGGAATAATAATGTCCAATTTGTTTGTGTTGTTGTCAAGGCTAATTCTTGTTGATTTTGAAAAGGATCATTTTGTAATGTTTGTTTATTGAAACCTTCATGAAAATCAATTAATAAATGAAAATTATTCGTTTTATTTTTATCTACATCATCATTTAATATCAAATTAGAATGATTGTTTATTAATAGATTTGGATTAGTAATTTGTTTTACTGAACCTGATGGTGATGATGATGATGACAATGATGGTGATGTTGATGATGGTGAGGAGGTTGGCAATGATGATAGCGATAGTAATTGTATTGTTGAAGATGGTTCTAACTTTTGGTGTGCTATTTGTGATGATGGATGTAACAATATTGGTAATGATGAAGAATTAAAATGATCTTTTCTAGCTTCTTCATCTACAGTTAATCTACTAGCTTCTTTATTATTATTATAAGTGTTAGTACTAGTGTTAGTAGTACTAGTAGTAGTGGTAGTCAACGTCGTCGTCGACGTCATCGTCATCGTTGTCGTTGTCGTCGTCGTAGTAGTAGTAGTATTACTGACTATTGTCTTATTGGAAATCTTTAATTGATCAATAGAATTATTAAATTCACTTAATGGTAAATATGTTATATCAGTACCAAATTCACCATCTTCATAATATGAATTGTCATTTAGATCAGCTTTTATACTTTCATCATAACTATGTAAACGTATATGATTGAATTGATTTTTTCGTTTAGTTCTTTTTTCATTACGTTTTGATCTTTTATTATAATTCATCATTGAATTACGATTTGGTATGGATTTTGCCCGATTTAGTTTGTGATTATTATTTCTATATGATAATTCCTTAGAATCTGCTAATAATGGTGTTGTTATTAGGTTATCACGACTCATATTGCAATTTATACTACTTATATGAATATTAGTAGTAGGAGTAGTGGTAGTAGTATTGATAGGAAAAGAATTATCTACAAATGTAGAATTGCATAACCAATTTGGAGATATTGAATTATAATAATCTTTTCTTTCATCAAAACGTAATAAAATTAACATTGAATCAATAGCTTTTCTTAACATTAGTAGTATATAATAAATATCCACATATTGGTTTATGTTTAGTACAAAACTGTCAATGATTTTCTAATATCTACAAAAGAGTAAAAATAGGAAATGATCAGTAGAAAGTTATGGAGATTATTGAGTTTTGATTGAGATTAAGCACTGGATGGCCGTTTTGACCTAGTATGAGACTTCAAAGCAGTGCGTACCTACAATCCTAGGGTGCGAGACTCGAACTCAAAACCTTCAGTCTAATATGCGAACGCTTAACCTGTAAATCATTGAGCCAGAAGCTAACTATGTTAATCCCATCCACTGATTCCAGGTTTTCTGTAATGGTCTAGCTTTAATCAACTCATGAATTCAATTATTAAATTATATATATTAGTTGAATTTACAACACAATAGGGGAATAGTAAAAATATCATAACATCTATTAAGCGTTAAATTTTACAGATTTAGATCATTTGAACTAAATATAAACTTCTACAAGAAAGAAAGAGATTGAATATTTTATATTGCTTAATCATCATTGCTTTTCTTAGATCAGATCAAGTAGACTAGCTTAGTTAACTAAGATTGTATGAAAATGAATATACTACTATATTCGTTGAGAAGTTGTGGTTGATCCATTAAACATAAATTATTAAGTAAATACTTGTTGCTAGGTAATTTATTATTCTCTACTCATGATAAACACAACGTTTATATAAAAAGTAGTTTCATAACTACTATAGGATAGTATCTTTCCAACACCTAATTATTATAGTAAACTGATGAATGACGCACACACACACACACACGAAAAAAACCCATATTTCAGTGGAAAAGTCAAACCAAATGATTAGTAAACACCTTAAGTCATATTAGAATAATTTCATCGATTTTCAGGAGAAAAAACAGTCAATCGTTCTAGATTGCTCACTTAGTAATCCTTTCATTGTCTGAATAACTACTTATATCACATGTTAGATATAGTGTGGTATGTGCTACTTATATCGACATCATTAGTATATAACGATAGTCAGGAATAGAATATCTAGTAGCAGAAGATCGAGAAGGAAAGAACGGAAACAGAAAGTAATTTTAGCAGGCCAGTTATTTAATCGTCATTTAGATAGAACGATGTTGTTAAAAGGGCTCTTCACTTTAGTGGCCCGAGATCTGGCTCCAAGGTGATCGTATTGATGATTGTTGTTGAATCATATGTGTCGCCTATTCTCGTATATAATCATCGTTTTAAATCGCGTTAGTCAATAACGGAATGAAAATGGACTTGTGAATACATATATTTTGTATATGAAGCGAATAGAATAGAGAGAAGAGAAACGACGTAGAATGGAGATGACGAGTAAGACAACTCCAATTTAACTAAGCGTCGGTCAATATATATAGTCACACAAAAGTAACTCACAGACATGAGATGAATAGGATTAGAAATGTACACACGCATATGCGCTCATATAAAAACAGTCAAAATTGATAAGCGAATAAATAACAAGGTCACAATGTAACTCAAGTAAAATGAATAGAATGGTCTGTCCGAAAGTTTGAATAAGGTGATAATATGGTCTTAACATAATGATCGACACTACAAATTAGTATGAAATGTAGGAACATTGATCTTTAGGACGATTGATTTATATTTGCAAAAGGAATAGTCAAGTTTCCGACATTTGATTGACATTTTATCAATTAAGTATTTACTGTATGGATCTCAGATTTTACTAAGATGTTCTATCATTTTGTTTACAAGCACATTCAATTGTTCCCATTTGTGTTCCCGTTCATTACAATACTAATAAAGAAGTGGTTATACCCTATTTGTTTGTTTGTTTTTTCTTTATGGGTATAATTTGATTAGTGTAGTGGACTTCTATTTACTATTCATCATAATTTACAATCTAAATCATTCACCAATATACAACTGTAATTTAATAATATTTACTATATATAACCCTTACTTACCATATTTCCCCAATTTCATGGCAAATGCCTATTCGTTCTTTTTACAGATAGGTGAGAATCATTCATTAATTGCTTAATAAGAATAAACAATCATAAAACTACTTTTGTTTACTTCCTGCCCCCCACCCAACCCGTTTTAATTCATGTTCATTACATCTAATAATCAGTTTAATAAAATAGATAATGAAGAAATACATTTTAGAAACATAATTCCTTAGACAGTTGACGGTGGTAGTGGTGTGTGTGTGTGTGTGTGCGGGGTGTGTGGGTGTGTAGGGGTGGATGGATATAAATACTACTGAATAATTTGTAGTTTATTATGTGTTTATATATTTACATTTTCTTTTTTTTAAAAAAAGTCCGCATAGTTCCGCTTGTCTATCCTGCTGTTTTATTTTGTTTTTGTTTTTGTTTTATCGAACCGGTCTTTTATAACTTTTTCTTTTCATTTGTGACGTGTTTTTTTGTTTTCACTGTTGTGCCTACGTGTTCTTCATATTAGATCACCAATAGACTATACACTAATTACACTTACACTTACATTCATATGGGTAAAAATGTGCATTTTTAAAGTTAAGCGGCATTATTCAAAAGAACATTTTTTTAAATTATTTAAACAAATGTAATTTTTTTATAAAAAAAAACGCACCGATTTACGATCAGCGATAAAACTACCACTATCGGATATATACAATTACACTTTAACCCGTTTACTTGAATTACAGGAGGGGGGGTCTTTGTTTTATTTGAATATGTGCTTGTATAAGTATGTTTACATGCGGTAACACCCATCATCGATATTCTATCAATGTACTGTAAATAGTTCGACTATAAGTAGACAGAAAATACATTAATTCTTGTTTTTTTTTAAAAACTAGCATCGAGTATATTACTTGAAACTATATCGAAAGCATCATAATTCTTGAATCAAAAGGTGGTTGCTATGCAATGAAGATACTGACAATGAAATAAATATAATCGAAAAATATGAAACATAATTACAAGTGTACTACATATTATATACATATATGTACCCCTATTGATGTAATGAAATAATGCTTTATGTATATATATATAAGGAGTGGCTTGTTCAGCTTTCAATGTTAGACTAGACCCTAAATGATGACAGGTCAGAGTAGACAGTTAAAGATTATTCATTAAAAGATAAATGTGTATGTGTACTACATATTATATATGGTATGTGTTTGGGCATTTTTGTTTTGCAAAACATCAAAATATAAACTGATTATCTATACTTATTTATCTATAATATTTAATAATTTGTCCATTATTAAGAACTTTCTACTGGTAATCAATGTGTAGAACAAGAAAATATAGTTTTGAATGTGTATGTTAATTATACTATTAGTTATGTGAAAACATAAGATTCCTTCTAAGCATGATTGATTTATGGGTGCTAGATTTTAATCAAGTAGTAATACCATCTTATGTATATATATCTCGCGAGACGGGATCGTGTATGCGCACTGCTGAGGAGTTCCACAGTAGGACGAAACGGTAGTCCAGTGGTTTCAGATTTTCTATGGTGATCTAGCTTCAATTGACTCATGATCTCAACTATTAAAATTACTATAATATCCACAAAACCCCTTATGATATTAATCAACGTATGTCCATTAGTGATTGACTTCAAGAGGTATTTTTTGAAGTTCTAGTGAGAAGCCGTGCGAATGAAGTTCAACTGGGTCTGTTGTAAGATAGTAACTCACTGAAAACAATGGTGGACAGTGGTGCGATTTCTTGAATTGGTTGAAATTAAATATTAAAACCGCTGGATGCTGGCTTGATGGTCTATAGGTTAAGCGTTCATGTACACGATGCCGAAGGTCCTGGATTCGAATCCTGCAAGCGGGATCGTGGATGCACACTGTCAAGGAGGTGTCCCACAACAGGAAGAAACGGCCGTCTAATACTTCCAGGTTTTCTATGGTGGTCGAATATCAATCGGTTCAATCAAAGACTTAACAATCTCTATAACCCCTAAACTTATTATTTTATTTGATGTTTACTTGATAGTATCGTTTGATTAGTTTGTATTTAATCTACATACAAACTGATTTAATAATAAAGGAGAAGAATAAGTTAATATAAAATGAGAATTGTTATTGATTAATTCACTTAATGTGAATATAATACATCAAATGTAACTCTTGAAGTCAAGTACTTAAGTCTACCAGTATAGATAAACAAAATATTAGTATAGATCAATTCTATAACAAGTAAAACATTGTATATATCAGAAGGGGTTTGTGGAGATTTAAGAAACTTCACAGATTGAAATCATGAGTCAATTGAAGCTAGAACACCATGGAAAACCTTGAAGCATTGGACGGCCGTTTCGTGGATTGGTTGAAATTAGACATTAACGGCTCAGTGGTCTAGTTGATTAAGCGATTGGCACGAGACTGATAGGTCCTGGATTCGAATCTCGCGGGGTGCAGGATTGTGGCTGCGCACTGCTGAGGAGTTCCAATATGATTTTTAATATACAATAAAAATCTCTTAATTATTTATGTATAAACATTGGGGTATTCAAATGTTAACAATCATAGGTAATGTATCTAAAAATAAGTAATCAAATCTATTTTTCTACCGATGATTTTGATCTTATTATATTTTACTATTAGGTTATGTTTACAAACTTTTCTACTTAAACTACTCAATTATTATCCTTAAAGCTTTTAAATTACGAAATATGAATATTAAGAGTCGAAGATACTCGTAAGTTACTAGTACTTAAGCAAAGATACCTTAGAAATATTGCTTGCATCTGATGGGATCACTGGGTAAGTAATAATGAGGTTAGACACAGAGTATCAGGGAATGATGGTAAATCAGTTGATGAAGTTGTGAATCTTCATTGACTGAGATGGTTAGGCCACGTGTTACGTATGCCTGAACACCGATTACCACGACGTGCAACGCTAACCGATGTTAGGGATGGTTGGAAGACAATTGGGAGTGGCAAAACC